TTCTCAATTCTCAATTCTCAATTCTCAATTCTCAATTCTCAATTCTCAATTCTCAATTCTCAATTCTCAATTCTCAAGTATAATGAAGAAACAACGAATATAATAGTACAAGAAATTCTGAGTCATACAGATCCAGGAAATCTAATAGCATGCATTAGTACACCTACAGTATTCGTAAAACTAAAGGTAAGAAATTATCTAATTAATTAATTGTTATTATTTTATCATTTAATTGTTTGAAATCCTTATTTATTTTTAATAATAGTCAATGATAGAAAGTTTAAATCGATCAATTTATTTATTCGAATTTGATACCCGATTTGATATTTATGGAAATAATTTCATCAAATATGATTATATGAATCCTACCAAATTTCAAGAAGCATCCAAATTTCGTAATAAGTTTGATTTTATTATGATTGATCCACCATTTTTAAGTGAAGACTGTTGTACAAAGTCCATTATTACTACTAGATGGCTTGGAAAAGAAGATTGTAAAATTTTATTATGTACAGGTAAGTTATTATTATTATTATTATTGTTTAAGATGAATATTTTCGATATTTTTCATATTTTTGGATTCAATTAAAACTTTAGGGGCCATTATGCGAGATTTTGTTAATCGATTAATTAAGGCTCATATGACAACTTTTTATCCTCTACATAAGGGTGGATTAGCAAATGAATTTCGTTGTTACATTAATTATGAAAGCAAAAATATAAAATTTGAAAAAGATCAATTTGAATTAGAGTCAAGTTTGTGAATTAAATTCAGCTTAATCTTGTGAATTAAATTCAGCTTAATCTTTAAAGAATGTAGACGAACATTATAAGTTCATTAGGATAGAAAGTCTTGAAGAAAGTGAAGTGTTATACTTGCTTTGGACGTTCTTGTAAGTCTTATAATATCGTCAGTATCGACTAAGATTAAATCCCACAGTTCTTTTCGAATAACAATCATTTTTGATTTTTATCCTTGAATGCTAATGAATGTACCCTGAAAAAATAAATATAAGAAGAAAAATATATAAAAATTACGAGAGGGTATCATTAATTATAATATGTAAAATATCAAAACTATTATTTATTACATTTATAAATAATGAATGTAAATTTAAAAGATATTGAGAAATAAAATTGCTTTATTCAAAAAAAAAAAATTGGATGATAATCTTTCATTTATTTATTTAACTAGAACAGGTTTAATTGACGATCATTTTATGTTTTTTTTTTATTAATTTTATTGAAAACAAAAAGAATAAAAAGAATAGATATCTTTTTTGAACATTCAATCGATTCAGTTATAATTTTGTAACGATCTTGATAATGATTCTAACCTTCGTTAGGTGACCCTGAAAGTGTTGATGTAAAGCAATAGATATTATTAATAGTAAAAAATAATAATAAAAATAATAGCATAGAGAAAAAACTTATAATAAATTATGGAGGTGTAAGAAAATGGAAAGATCATATACTGAATACAAATATAAATTTAGTATGTAGAAATAATTATTATATAATATCAATTAAATAATCATAATATAATAGCATTTTAAAGTTTCACATTTTAAATTAATTTTTTAAAAAAAAAAAAAAAATTAGAAAAATCTTGTATATTTAATTCTTGATCAAAGGAATGATAAAAAAAAAATTTTTTTTTTTTTGATTAGATAGTAATAATACTTCTTAATAATGTTACGACAAGGTTTATTAAAAACTAAAAATACTTTTGCTCGCGTGCTAAAGTTAAAAAGTCCCTCAAAAGTTTTAGCTGTATGATATATTTATAATATATAATTTCTTATAACTGTTGAAATATAATTAAAAAAAAATATTTTTCTTTTGATATTTCGATATTTTTCGGCACACTTTTAGAGAGGATATGTTTCGCCGCAAATTCAACAAGAGGTAATAATAATGTAAATAAAATAAGTTAAATGTTTTTAACTTATATTATTAATACGTATTAAATAAATAAATACATATATATTTATATCGTTATATAGTATTTGAATTTACGTCTCGCAGAAATGGATCCCGAAGTTTTTGATATTATAGAAAAGGAGAAAAAGAGACAACGCGAGAGTATAGTTCTTATTCCATCAGAAGTAATTAAATTATTTTTTAATTGAATTTTTTTTTTTTTGATTTTTTTTTTTAAAGAAAACTCTGAATTTTTCTTTTTTAGAATTTTACGTCACGTGCTGTTATGGAGGCATTAGGTTCGGTTATGCAAAATAAATACTCGGAAGGATATCCTGGTGCAAGGTAAGAAATATATTATTTTAAAATGTTCGTTAAAAAAATTATCATCAAAATACGCATAAATAAATAGATTTTATTATTAGATATTACGGTGGAAATGAATTTATTGATCAATCCGAAACTTTGTGTCAAAAGCGAGCTTTGGAAGCTTTTGGATTAAATGGATCGGAATGGGGAGTAAATGTACAAGCATTGTCAGGTGTGTGTGTGTGTTTGTGGTATAATTGTTAATAATAATTTTTAGATAAAAAAAAAAAAAGGTTAATTTAATTAATTTAATTGATTTAATTTATTTCTTATAGGTGCACCGGCTAATTTATATGTCTATAGCGCGATATTAAAACCACATGAAAGATTAATGGGATTGGATTTACCACATGGTGGACAGTAAGTATTTCTAATGTCAAACTGTTAAAGTTGGTTAAATTATTTAAACTATTCAAAAAAAAAAAGTAATTAATTGTATTATTAGTTTATCTCATGGTTACCAAACAGAAACCAAAAAGATATCAGCAGTATCTTCCTATTTTGAAACATTACCATATCGTGTGAATGAAAAAACCGGAATAATAGATTACGACGCTCTGGAAGCGAGTGCAATTTTATATCGACCTAAAATCATTATTGCTGGTGCAAGTGCATACCCCAGAAATTTTGATTATGCACGTATGAAACAAATTGCTGATAAAGTCAACGCCTATTTAATGGCTGATATTGCTCACATAAGTGGATTAATCTCTGCTGGAGTTTTACCTTCTCCTTTTGCATTTGCTGATATTGTTACAACTACAACTCATAAATCTCTTCGAGGTCCACGTGGTGCTTTAATATTTTATAGAAAAGGGACTAGAACTATTGATAAGAAAGGAAAAAGTGAGTAGACTACATAACCATGTAGATTTAATTTTAATTTCAAGCAACGTTAATATAATTTTTTTTTGTTATAACTCAAAGTATAATATATATATGTACAATATATATATATATATATATATATATCCTTAATGATTAAAAAAAAAAGATGTCGTCTATGATTTGGAAAATCTTATAAATCAATCCGTATTCCCTGGTCATCAGGGTGGTCCACATAATCATACCATCACAGCAATTTCCGTATCACTTGAACAAACCAAGCATTCCATTTTTAGAGAATATCAACGACAAATATTAAAAAATAGTTTTGCATTCGCTAAGGCATTTAAGAAACATGGATACGATTTAGTTTCAGGTGGCACTGATACTCATTTAGTACTTGTGGATTTGAGGAATAAAGTAGGTTTTCTACGCATTTTTTATTAAATTGTTTATTATTATGTATATTATTTTAAATTTTTTTTAAATTATGTAAAATTTTTTATAATAGCATATCGATGGTGCTCGTGTTGAACATATCCTTGAAATGATAAATATTGCAGTCAACAAGAACACGGTTCCTGGTGATACAAGCGCGTTTATTCCGGGAGGAATTCGTGTAGGTACGCCGGCTATGACTACTCGTGGTTTCGTTGAATCCGATTTTGAAAAAGTAGTTGAGTTTATTCATAATGGTATATTATTAACCATTGATATTAACAAGAGAATCTCTAGTAAGTTTTCCGAATACATTCAAAAAAACAAAAAAAAATTTTTTTAAGCATAAATTTAAATTATTATTAAATTATTATAAAATTATTATTAAATTATTTATATTAATTTATGATAATAGGAACCAGAATTAGAGATTTCAAAGATTACATGGGAGAGAGAGCCCCCGATCCTCTACTCGAGGAATTAAAACACAATGTAACGAATTTTGCAAAACGATTTCCCACAATAGGGTTTAAAGAACGTGAGATGAAATTCGCGTAAGATAGGAATAAAAGATGAAATATGAAAAGTAATTTAAAATTCTTTTTAATATTTGTATTATTATTATTATTATTATTATTCAAGTTATACATAATTTAAAAGTATAAATTTAAAGATTAGATTTAAATTAATAAATGTAATTTAGATAATAGAAATGAATTAACAACTTTTTTTTTTTTTAATAATATGATAAACAATTTTATTTTTTGAATATCTTCTTCTGTTAATAATTATCAGTTAGTTGTTATGTTATTATTATCAATTAGAATTATTTTCGTCTAAATTCAGATTTTAAATCGGAAATCCCCACGGGAACTCCAGCCTTTGATGAAAAATATATTCTCATCAATTATTATTAGTAGATGATGAATTATAATAAATTTATTAAAAAAATATAAAAATAAATAATATTTAAGAAAAAAATTCCAAACCTTTTCGTCATAATCTGCCCAATAACCTTCAGTCAAATCGATATTTTCGAAAATTGTCTCACTATCAACTCCTTTTGCACTAAATCCAAACTAAAAAATAATTCATTTCAAATAAAAATTATATAAAATTATATAAAAATTATATATATAAAAATTATAAAAAATTATATAAAAATTATATATAAAAAATTAAAAAAAAAAATTACTCTAGGATCAAAATCTACAAATTCCAATCCTCTACATTCAATAATGACAATTGGAGAAAATTGATCACTATTCTCAATAGTATAAGGATTAATAGAAGTTGGATCAATTTCTAATAATAATAATTAATAAATAAAAATAAAGTTATATAATACATTAAAATAATTCCGTGAATAAATATTTTAGTAACTCACGTGCGTAACCTTCTCTTTTACAGAATTTACAACGAATTACGAAATTCGCGGTTCCTCGAGATCCAGGTACGTCATTTTTAGTCTTATTTTAATCAAAAAAAATTTTAGTATAATAAATAGTAACAAAAAAAATAAGATATAATAATAAAATATATACTTACAAGTTGGTTGACACCAACCCAGTTTTCGTTTACTTCATAACAACTTGTACATTTTACCTAATAAATAAAAAAAAGTTATAGTGGTGAACCTTATCTATTTTTTTTTTTTTTTTTTAATTAGGTATTACCTTGAAGTGCCATTCGTAATCTTCACCACCTGGTCCAACATCTGTTATGTTTTCCAGTTCTGCCTTGAAATAAAGCGCGAGTTTCTTTTCAAAGAAGAAAATTATTATTCAATTTATTAATAATATTATAAATTAATTAATTAATTAATTAATTAATTAATGAAAAAATGATGAGATAATTACCACCATTGTTTTTTTTTTAAATAATTTTTAACGGTTGAATAAAAATTTTTAATGAATAATAAAAACACCTTAAAAATTGAATCACATGAGAAAAATTCCCTTTATTATATACCAAGAATTACAAGGAATTACATCATTTATTATAGTAATTACTTGATAATAATAGCATATAAAATGTGCCAAGATTTCCACAAATATATTATTTTTTTTTCTTTAATTTCATTTATAATGGTACTTCATCATTCCGAAGAGATTACAGTTGTTACACCTGAGGGTGACCATCCATCTTTTCCCGCATTTTTCTCTCGACCAAATTATGGATCCGGTCCAGGTTTAATACTTATTACGGAACATCTTAATATGACTCAAGATGATGAACAAGAAGCTAATTTATTTGCTCAAGAAGGATATGTGGTATTATTATTAAATTTGGAAACACTTTCATTAGATGATGATGAAGAAGCATTAATATATATTAGAGGTGCCATAAATCATTTTGAAAATGTATCAGAAAAAGTTGGGAAAATTGCAATTATTGGTCGTGGACATGGGGGATCACTTACATTAAAATTAATTTCTCAAGAATCATCTTTACAAAAAGCACATGATGCAAACTTCATTTCACGTATTGATTGTGGGGTGATTTATTACCCAACTAATCTCAAAGATCATATTGATGATTTATCAAAGATTTCTATTCCTCTCATGATTCATTTAACTGAAGAAAATGAAGAAGATAAAGATAATAATATTGAAAAAAAAACAAAAGAATTAGTTAGTCATAATAAATCTATTGAAATATATGAATATCCGGGTACGAAGCGTGGATTCGCTTCACCAAATTATGATCAAATATCACAAGAAATTAGTTTTAAAAGTGATTTAGCGCATACAAGATCTTTAAGTATTTTAAGAAAAGTGATAGGACCTTATCGTAATTTATCAGATTTATGGGAAACACATATGAAACATGAATTTACTTCAAAGGATGTTCAAAAGACAATGAGCACGATGGTAAATCTTTTGGTATATCGCAATTCCCTGGCACCATCGTGTTCATATTAACACTTTTTTTTTTTTTTTTTTATCTCTCCCTATAATCTACAAAAATAAAAGACAGATGATGCATATGTTAATCATGTCCCAACCATGATTGGTGGTGGAGTTGAACATGAACGTCTTGCACAATTTTGTATGAAATCTTTTTTGAAAAAAAAAAAATCATTGCTGTAACAATCAAAAAAAAAAATAATAATAATAATAAATGATAATAATAATAAATAATAATAATAATAATAATAATTTAATTAATGATTATTCCATAAATAGATCAAAACCACTTTGTTAATTCCAATCCACCCGATACCAAAATAATCCCTATTTCACGTACGATAGGAGTAAATCGTTTAGCCGATGAAATGATATTATGTTTTACCCATACACAAGAAATCGATTGGCTTCTTCCGGGAGTAGCACCAACTAACAAATATGTTGAGATACCAATGGTGGGAATTATATATTTTCGAGATAATAAATTGTATGCTGAACATATTTATTGGGACCAAGCGTCAGTACTTGTACAAATCGGATTGATGAAAAATATAGGTTCATTACCTGTCACAGGGGCGGAACAAGCAAAAACATTATTAGATAAGAAATTACCGAATAATGAATTGTTGAAGAGAAAAGCAAAATAATAATAATATCATCAAATGGTTGGCTTATATTACGTAATACATCATTATTATTATTTATTGTAGATTTGTTGAATAATAAAAAAAAAATGGTCTGAGTTTAGTGAAAATTTTTTTTCTTGTTTGTTCAATAAACACAATAAACATTTATTAACCATAATTGAGTAATGTTTTTTTAAGAAAAAAAAATTTTTTTCTTTTACAATATCCAAATATTTACAATAAATAATAAATAATAAAAACGGCGAAAAAAAAAAAAAAAAAACTTTAAAAAAAATATTTGCATTCATTATTATTTTTATTAGAGATCACAAGGAGTAGCAAATTAAAGTTACATATTGTATATTATTTATTATTATTAACTTTAACTTTTGATTATCTTATCTTTTATTTTTATTATATTTATTATATTTACTATATTTATTTATTATTGTATTATTTTAATTTTATAATAATAAACACGTGATTATTGATGGGCAAAGAATATATTGATATAATAATGAGAATGTAACTGATTCATATTAGATTATATTTATGCACATGACAATGGTGTGAGTGGCTTAATTTTTTTTTGTATACTTGTGAATTCATTGTAATGTCCGTAAATGAAATTTTTTTTTCTCTTTTTTCAGAAGGAATTTGCCGATTGATATGAGTGAAATCTTTTTTTTTTCATCTTCGGCGTTTTATAATCATTTGACTGGCTTAAATTCATTATATTATTTTAATATGTTGATTCAGAGAAAAAAAAATAATTTATTCGTGTCACACAAAATGGTTTTTAATAATCGTTAAATGACACACATATACCAAATGGTACTAATAATAACTCTTCCTTCTTTTCTTCTTACAAATAACCAAAAGGAGATATTTTGTCATCGTTTAAATTTTAACCAATAACTAGATTTCGAATACACCATTTTTTTTTTTAAAAAAAAAAAAGAGATGCATATAAAAATAATTATAAATGAATTTAGGGAATGGAATGTATTACAAATAATCAAACATTGTACAATAAACAACAAATGAAAAATAATTTTTCATAGATTTTAAATATACAATATTTGGGGGAAAGTGCAATCCGTATCTCTCACAAAAAAAACCAAATCTGTAAGTTTTCTATTTCTTTATTGTAATTAACAAATCATAAAATGCAGGTTTTTAAAACCATGCAACTGTAATTGCTCTATCTATAAATAGCCACATGTATAGATGAGTTTTCTTGCAGTGCATAACAGTTATCGTAGTTATAAATAATAAAAATAAAAATAATATAACAACGTATGTTATAATGCATGATTCCATATATTTTATTTCTATTAATTCTATTTTGGCTGATTGGGCTTCGGAAAATCTTTACATGCCTTCTTTTATTCCCAATGAGGTGTTCACATAAATTATTGATTGTAATTTATTGTAATTTAATTTTTTTTTAAAAAAAAAAAAAATTTCCCGAGCATTTTTTCACGTTTACCATAGGTGACACCAATGCATATTAAATATATTAAATTCAATGACTAATCATGAGGTAATTTCGATCTACAATTATTCACCGTTGTGGTGCACACGAGGCGATAGGCAAATTAGGACTCCGAGCAATACTAAAATAAAACTGTCATCAAGCAAAAAAAAAAGAAAACCTTTAAAAAAAAATAAGTAACTCATAATTATGTTCTATAATTAAATTGCGAAATATCGCGTAACGTAATATCGTGAAACGTTTTAAAACCGTTAATGTTGCAATATTTCCTCAAAGATTTTTAATGACGATTTTTTAATGATAATAAAATTTAGATAAAATATTTCCAATATTTGTGTCACAATAACTAATTTACATAATTTATATATTTTATATATATTCACGGAAAATTTTACGATTGATATTTCTCATTAAAGTTGGTATTACCGACCTCTAGTTCATTTTTCCGTCTTTTCCATTTTTTTCCTGTCAAAATAGCTTTAAAAATAACCATAATAACAATGTTATGATATCTTCAAACAAACATGAAAAACATGAAAACGGCGAGTCTGGAATTGGTCTTAATAATTACATTTTTATACTAAAAAATAACAACAAAAAAAAACAAAAACCAATATAATTCTTTGTTTCAGTTGAGAAATCTATTATATTTTACAGTTTTATTATTCTTTATTCTTAATATTTAGTAAAGATTGAATTGTTTATTATTTGATATGTACCTTGTGGTGTGTTTTGTTATATGCGAAAAAAAAAAAAAAAATAAAAAAAAAAAATAAATTAAAAAAAAAGGGTAAAAAAGTAATGAATAAATGCTAAAATTGGTTGTTCACTTTTTGATTGTATTTTTTTTTTTTGAAATTAGATTCGAAATTCGATTCAAAAATTCGTATATATAATTGTTATTATTCTACATTATCCAGCACTTTTTTATTTCTAGAAAAAGTGTCAAACTCCCTCTCTATGTAAATAAAAAGAGCAGGTATTAATATTTCTAAAGATTAATTCAATAATTCAGATTAATCTGTTGTTATAATAGTTGAATAATAATAATAATAATGATGATGATGATGATAAATATTTTCATTCCATATTTTTTTACGCGTTATTGTATATGTAAAGAAAAATAATATACTGAATTATTTTATGCATATATGAAAATGGGATAATATGTATATTTTTTAATATTGTATATATTTGTATATATTGTATTGTGTTGTAAAAGTGAATTTTTTTTTAAAAAAAAAAAATAAAAAAAATAAAAAAATATGTAAAAATGAACACTCTCGATCACTCTTCAAACTATTATTAACTCCATGATAAAAATTTCACTTTTTTGATTATTAAATGTGGTTAATGTAGTTAACAAGTTTTTGTGGTTATTACTATTATTCAACAATGATGTTCTTATGTATGTATTGAAAAAAAGAAAATTTTGTATATATATATATGCATATAAAAAATAAAAGAAAAAAAAAATAGGAATCATATTTAACAAACTTCACCGGAAGCCGAACCTTCTTGAGTTTCTCTTCTAGTAATAACGTTAATATTATTAATATTATTATTATTATTATTATTACTATTCGTTCCACTATTTATAACAATTCTTTCCGTCAAAATTCCTTCGGGTGTAAAAGATGTATTAAATCTTGGATCAAATCTTCTAGGCATTGGTGATAATATTCGTGAGGAGGAGGAGGAGGAAGAAGAAGAAGAATGATGAGATGTATGATTTAGTTGTGGTTGTTGATGATGTTGTTCAGAAGGAGAACCTTCTGAATAATAATAATCATGAATATGATTTAAATAATCAAAAACATTATTATTATTATTATTATTACTATGATTATTATGATTATTATCATATGAGGTATTACCTCCTCTTCGTACATTTTGAACATTATTCCATTCTTGTAATCTTCTTGATATTGGTGGCGGTATTACTTCAGGTATTGTGGGAAAAGTGGGTGGAACTCGAATTAATTGTGGTACATCTATACCACGTTGAATAAGTTCTTCTCTTGAATTTATTGTAGTTGTCGCAATAGGATTAGAAGTTGTAGAAGAAGAAGAAGAAGATGATGATGATGATGGGGATAAAGAAGTAGTAGATGTTGGAATTGATACATTTATATTCCTTGACCTATGATGATTTGATCTATGATGTCTAGATGACGGTCTTGTATGTTGTTGTGTAAGTTGAATTAAATTCCTCGGTAAAAATAAATCCATGTTATTATTTTGATGAATTACAGTGTTCGTCATATTACTAATATTACTCACATTATTATTATTATTATTATTATCATCATCATTATTATTAATATTATTATCTCTTTGATTGTTAATCGTTGATATTTCTGATATCTCTGTTGGTCGAGAAAAAGATTCTTCAAAATTTATATCAATTGCTTCATCAATTAAATTATCCGGTCTACTTTCTCGTCTCTCATCATTATTATCATTTTGTGATGTAAAAATATTTTGAAAAGAAATATCTATTTGCGATGTAATTTCTTCTGGTGGCGGTGGTGGCTGTTGTGGTCGTGGTGACGTCAGTATTAATTGTTGCTGTTGTTGTTGTAATAGTTGATGTTGTAAAAGTAATTGTCTTTGTGCTTCTTGTTGTCGTTGTATTTCTTGTCTTTGTTGTAATTCTTGTTGCTGTCGATGTAATTCTTCTTGTTGTCGATGTAATTCTTCTTGTTGTCTTTGTAATTCTTGTCGTTCTATTTCTTGTTGTCTTTGTCTTCTCAATTCTTCATGTCGTTGTGCTTGTCTTTGTACTGCTTGTTGTGCTAATTGTTGCTGTTGCTGTTGTTGTTGTTGTGCTAATTGTTGAGCTGCCAATTGTTGTGCTCTTATACTTAATAATTGAGCTGAATGTAATTGCATTCCACGTCTTGTAGCTAAATTTGATGATGCAATTTGATGTTCTCGGGTTCGATGTAATTGTTGAAGTTGTTGAAGTTGTTGTTGAACTAAATTATTATAAGGTAATGATGATCTTCTAACCCGTTGTGGTCGTTGTGGTGGTGGCGGTTGTAATGATGGTGATTGTTGTTGTTGTTGTTGTTGATGATGATGATGTAGATGTTGACGTAGATGATTTTCACTTTGAAGTTGTAATTGTGAAGAACCGGGATTTCTTGGTTGAAGAAAGTCTGGAATTTCTATTGATGATGGTGATGATGATGATGGTTGATGATGATGATGATGATGATGATGGTCAGTCAAATTTATATCTATTGAACGATGTGAATTATTACTTCCCACATTATTATTATTATTATTATTATATTCACCACTATTTGTGGCAGTAGTGGTGGTGGTGGTAGTAGCGTAGGGAAGTGGAAATGGAAATGATGAAATATTTCGACGAATAAAATAACGATGATTACCAAAAGCACTCGTTCTAGAGTTTTGGTATGAGTCACCAGGAAAATCCGAATCTTCGTAAGGTGTATATGGTGGTGATTGAGGTTGTGGTTGTTTCGGTGGTAATTGTCTTTTCTTTAGAGATGGAGAAACGAACATAGGAAGACCCATACTGTTTAAATTATTTACTTTTTTTTTTCTATAAAACTTGTGTTATTGTTAGTTATTGTTAGTTATTGTTGTTATTATTATTTGATGTTTGTTGTTTTTTAAACTTTTGGGCTTTTTGTTGGTGTTGGTTTCTTTTGTTTTTTATTTAAGTGTTTTTTTTTTTATTACTATTATTTTTTCCTTATTATAAAAAAATTAAAGTAGGTGACCAATGCAAAAAAAAAAAAAAAAAAAAATTTTTCTGTACGTCCTGTTGAGAATTATTGCGACCTTTATATAAGCAGATTTTTTTTAATCAAACGCTAAAAAAATAAAATTTTTTTTTTGTCAATCAACAAACCCCTCTGGGAAAAAAAAAATAACTGCAGAAAAAAAATTTTTTTTTTTATTTTTAATTTATATTTGGATAAGAGTCATGAGATTGTATACTAAAATATTTGAATTTACTTGATTAAAAACTTGATTACATTCGTCAAAAAAAAATTTCAACTAATAAAACTAATGAATTTCTCCACCTTTTCTTCTTCTTCTTCTTCTTCGTTAGGGTGAAGATCAACCCCTGTTTATTTGTTTGTTGAGAAACAAGAAAAAAAAAAGGGGGAAAGAAGAAATGATTGAAGGAGAAAAAATTCCAGGGTCACTTTTATTATTACTATGAAATATGATTTATTTGTGGCAAGAACACCTAAATGGCTAGAAAACTGCGGAAGATGGGCTTTTTTTTTTGTTATGTTCTTATCTTTTTTATACAAAAGTCCGTTAATTTTTTTTTTTTTTTTTATTTATTTATTTATCTATGTATTATTTTATTATTATCATTAACTATTTATTATATTTATAATAATAATAATAATATAATATTTTATTTATAATATAAAAAAAATTATATATAAATAATATATTAGTTAGTTTGAAGCAACAAATAAAAAAAAAATTCACTTACAAGGAATCTTTTTATAATTAAAACCATATGTAACCACAAAAAAAAAACACTGAACAATACCGCCAAAAAAATTTTTTCCTTTTTCCTTTTTAGTTATACATATGTAATTGTACGCCATCGTTAAATAACTAGTATCAGCACGGCATCCGATCAAGATTTCGATGGGCAACCAAACAACATCCGTAATTGTTAATATTTGTATTATTTGTATTATGTATTGTATATAGTGAAATCGGTGCTCGGACTTTATTATAATATCAGCAGAATTCCACGTGATAATAAACGCACGAAAAATCCAGAACATTCTTTACATTCTTTATTAATACATTTTTTCATTAGATAACAAAACCATATAAAAAAATTTTTCTTAAAGTTTATTTGAATTAAGCTACTTTTAGCTATATATATGACTTTTAAGTTTAAGCTATAAGAATTTATTATTATTTATTTTTTTTTTTTTTAAAAAAAAAAAAATTATACTTACGTTAATTACTCCTTCACACGAGATGTACATATATGTGTGTGTGTAGAAGGAGCACAAATAGAACTTTTTAATAAAGTTTAGACTTTAATAAATCGGATAATCTTTAATGAATCTTATTTGTTGATATTTTACTTGATTCATCATTCACTGCCTGTATTAATTTCTATATTAAAATTTTGCATAATTTCCTGTATAATTTTTTTGCTATAACTTGCATAATATCTGTATAACTATAATATGACATGATTACTCTATCAATCATTTTTTCATTGTTTGATCAAATTATAAAGTAATAATATAAAATAATTGGAAAAAAATGTAAAATAAATGAAAAATAAAAAATGAAAAATAAATGAAAATAAGTGGAAACAAGTTAAATAAAGGGTACATATTTCATTATTTCTTGTTGACTAAAGAAGATTTTTTTGTTAACCAAATTAATCAATAGTTATACATATATATTATTTCATATTATTTTTTTTACACATATACACATATATGTATCATATATTATGAATTCGTTTTACTTATTATTTATTTATCTTTTTTTGGAATAAATTCCATAAATACGTGCGTGCAGTCTGCTGTAATTATTATATAATTATTATTACAATGAATCTAGTAAAAATGAATCCGAAGTTATATCCGATCTAACATTGTCTAACATTGTTAAAATACCTCCTTCCTCGAAAAAAAAAATAATAGATTGATTTTAATGCTTTTTAATTTCATTCCAAATGTTTTTTAAATGTTCTAACTGAATGCTTCACATAACAAGTATAACGAGTTTTAATCCTGGTAAATAATAATAATAAAAATATAAACAAATATCAATATAACTAATTTAGTTAAAATCAAAAAAAATCCGACCAATAAATGTCGATAAATGGAACCAATGAATGAATGGAATGAACGGAAAAGAAAAGAAATTGGAAGATCTGAGTAATTTCTCAAAAAAATATAAATAAACCCAATTCTCTAAAAAAAAAAAGGCGATTTTTTTTTTATTAAAAAAATGAACATCCCATTTGTTACCAGACCGTTAAGTACTTTGGTAAGTCTCTCCTTATCTATTTTCAAAAATATATATAAATATTATAAAAGTAACAACACAAACAATTGCAACAAAAAAAAAAAAGCGATATTTAGCAGCTGAATATCCTGTGTATGTGTGGAGTATAGGGCTTGGTGCTCTTGGTAAGAATATGAACAAAGATGAAAAATAGAAAAAGATTATAAAGATAATAACAATAATAATAAAGATAATAATAAAGATAAAGATAATAATAAAGATAATAACAATAATAAAGATAATAACAATAATGAGAATAACAATAATAATGATAATAATGATAATAAAATAATAATAATAATAATAAAAGAATAATAATAAAAAAAAAATAATTATAATTTTTCCGAAATTTATTTCCAATTAGAGTAATTTGGCTTTTTTTATTGATAATATATTTTTTTTTATTGTTAACATGATAATATATCTTTTTTATTGATATTATATATATATATATATATAAGGACCATTAATGGTGCTTATTGTTCCTCCAATCCGTAAACATTATTTCGGCTATAAAAAGATTCCACTTCCTCCGATTACTTATCCGCGTAAGTAGTAAAAATACCTAATTGAGATTCTATAATAAATTATTTTATTCATCTTTCGCTGAGTAATATATTTATTACATTTTATTATTAAATAATCATCTTCATCATTATTTCTATTATTATTATGGTTATATAATGTAATTCATTAAATCTATTGTATCATTCGATTTATTACATACATATTGTTTATATGTAGTTCCTAAACGGCCAAGAAATCATCCCGCTGGATATGAAGATCCATGATTATTATATTTAATAAATTAAAGTGATTTTTTTTTTAAAAAAAAAAAAATTTATTTTAAAATTATTTATTATTACATTATATTACCAATTTATATAAAAAGTTTATTATTATTATTATAGTTATTATAGTTTATTCCATAAAAAAAAAGAAAAAAATGATGAATTAATGCGAACTTTAATTGGATTTTTTTTTTTAAGCCACAGAAAATGTAATATGTGAATGATGTAAAAAATATGAAAATATGAGAGTTAATATGTGAGCAATGTGAACAAAATGTGAGCATCTGATTCTGCAAGAATATTAATTTTGACACTAACTAATAGGAAGTGCAGAAAGAGATAGGATTCATCTTATATTAAAATTCACCTGATTGAGATTGAACAAAAAAAGATATATTATCACATGAAATTTTATAATTTTATGGAATTCTTTAATTTTATAGAATTATTTTTTTTTTTATTTTAATTTATTTAATTTAATAATGCAATAGACTGAAATCCTTCTTCTTCTTCTTCTTTTTCTTCATTAATGCTATTTATATTATTATAATTGTTAATAAATTGTTTTTGTACCTTAAAGTTTTCAATATTAATTTCCTCCTTGCAATTACTATTATTATTGTTGTTGTTATCAATTAAAGGTTCATTTTCATCATACGTGGAATTTCTTCTATATCTTATTCCATTAAATACTATATTATTATCATTATTGTTATTAATATTGTAGATATCAATGTTAATACCAATATGATTGTTATTAATGTTATTGTCAATTTTTCTGTTATTTCCTAAAATATATTTTTCATCATCATCATCATCATTATCACCTTCATCATCACCATCATCTTCTTCTTCACCTTCTTTTTCTCCTTCTTCAGATTCAATTTCTTTTATAATTTTTCTTGCAGCCATCCATACATAAACAATTACACCAATACCAATTATAATCCCACACATCATTAAAATTGTTTTAATTAAAGTCGCAGGATCATTTTCATCATCTTCACCTGGATGATAATCTTGATAATAATCTTGATTAATATTTTTATTATTAAATATTCCTTTATCTTGATTATTATTTATATTATCATCTTCTATATTATCATTTTCTATATTATCATCTATATCATTATCATGATGATGATGATGATTCATATGCATTGAGAATGAAGAAATTTTACTACCAATCCAAACATGAATTATAAGTTTGAAAAGTGATAATGCTGTAGCGCCTGCAAATGTAGATAATGATATATGTGTTGCTGATAATAAAGTATTAAGTACATTATACGGATATGGTGCCAAGCGAATAAAAAATAAAAGCTATAATTAAAAAAAAAATTTGATTTTAAGATTACAAAAAAAAAAAAAAGTAATGATTAAGGATTGCAAGATTGCATAGATTGCATAGATAACATAAAAAATTAAAGAATACCAAAATAATATATAATATATAATAATAATATAGTATATAAATTATAAATAATATATATATGTAATATCTAAAATAATAATGTAAGATATAAAATAATATAATATTTAATAATATAAAAATATCAATTACCTTAAATCCTTTCTTCTCTACAGCTTTTACTATCGCACTCATTGAATTACTTTTATTTAAAAGTTTTCTAACCGATTTTTTAAACCACCTTCGACTTAATAGAAATACAGTTATGGCCCCAGTTAATGCTGCAAAATATGATATGATAAATCCTTTAATAAATCCAAATGTGAATCCGGATAAAGTTATTAATGTACTATAACCAATTACTAATGGAAATGTGGTAAAGAATATTAAACTAAATATTATCATCTCTCCCCTATTGAATAAAATAAATATTATTATTATTATCATTATTATTATTATTATTATTATTATTATTAAATAAGCAGTTATCATCATCATCATTATTATTATTACATTATTATTATTATTATTATTAATTAATTAATTAATTAATTAATAATGTTTATTATTAAATAAATACCTTAATTCCATAGATTTCATTAAATATGCCAAATTTTCCAATAATTTAAATATTTCATTTTTATTTATCAAGAAAATAGTTAAAGTGATTAAAGAAATAATTCCCCAAATTGCAAATGGTATTAATGGTTGAAATCTTTTAGGTATTTTGGTCTTTTTCCACGTTTGATGAACTTTGGAAAATATTGAAAATGATTCATATGAATTTGTTATGCTTATGGTGGTGATTGATGAAGTTGATGCAGTTTTTCGATGTTTTAATTCTCTATTATTATTATTATTATTATTATTATTATTATTACCACTATTATTATTTAAATTATTATTTAAATTATTATTAGATTTATTAATGATAGATTGAGGAGGAGCAGAAGATGGTAATAATGGATCAAATTGTGAATTATTAAATAAAATTAACTTAGATTTTATTGGAGAATTAAAAGAATTTATGGTAGAATTTATAGCAATAGTAGTGGGATTTATGGAAGAATTTATAGATGGAGATACAGCAGAAGTTTGATCTAATGCTATATCAAGTTCAGGAAGTATAATAATTGTCATATTTATTTTTATTTTTTATTTATTTATTTATCATAAACTTTATTGATTTATTAAATGAGATTATTTTTGTTATATTCTTAAGTTTAAGGGATAAATTTTATTGAGATAAATTTTTTTTAAAAAAAAACTTGAAAGATAAGGAAATCAAACAAGTTGAATAGATTTATTTAAAGCGTTTTAAAGTGAAAGAATGAAGTTATAATGCAATGCTCAGTAAAATTAATGCGAGTTAATGAAAGTTAATAATAGGCGGGAGATAATGTTGTGTGCGATTCGCGTTCTTTATCATTGAATTTTAAAATTTTTAAGTAACACAATGCTTGAATATGCTTTTAATTATTGGTAAAAAAAAAAAAAAAAAAAAATTTGTATCTAGCAAATATAACTTGCATAGAGAATCATAAAGAAATGAGGAGATGATTTCTTTTTTTAGTATATGAAAAATTATTTTAGGGAATAAGGACAATTCGCTGCATTAACTATTACTTTTTTTTTTTTCTTTTCTCATCATAAAAGCAAAAAAAAAAATTCCTTTTGTGTGTTATTATCTAGTGTTATTGGTAATTCCCGCCAAAAGAATATTTAATTTCTCCTATTAATAACTTTTAATTCACCACCAATAAAAAAAGTGTATTTATCACTTGATGTGTGTACAAATTAATATGTGATCATGTGATTCTGTGAATTGATAATTTAGAATTCTGCTAGTTCTGCTTAATTCTGGTAACAAAATAACAAAATGTAGGATTTACTCGGTATAATTCACGCACCATTTCCATATTTTCTAAATTTTCTAAATTTTCAACATTTTCTACATTGCATTGGAATTAAAAAGAATACATGCATAAAACCCATTTTTTTAAGATAAAAAAAGAATTCTCGATCTTCAAGGAAAAAAAAAATTTTTTTTATCGCGATCCTTTGTTGTTTTTTTTAAAAAAAAATTTTTTCTGCATACAAGAAAAAAAAAATTCACGCACATACACATTCGGTTTTTTTTTTTAACACACACGCGCATAACACCAATTTATCGAGAGCTCTTTATTAGGATTCCTTGCATATTTACATAAAGGTTTTTTTTTAAATTAAAACAAATTACAAACAAACAAACAAAAATAAATAAATAAAATTACGACATACAAAAAAAAAACATCATTTTCAGTGTAAGAAAATGTTTAGCGGAACGTGCGTGAGAGTGTGAATGTATGCGCAAAATGGTCATCACCAAAACTAAATAAAGTTCCATTCAAAAAATAAATTCAAGAAATATGTCACAAGGAATAATCATTCATTATTATTTCTATTATTTCGCATAACCGAAAAAAAAACAATGTAAAAAAAACGCTTTTTATCATTATCTATGTAAAAAAAAGTACATAAAATCACGTGTTGTGGTTCATTTAAAAAAATTTTAACTTTCTCGAGAATACTGTATATATGTAAATTCCTCTTGTCAATTGATAATAAATGTAATAACTATATTACTATTGTTCATTATATTTACTAAATATAGATAGATCTCTGTAACAATTTATATTTTTTTGTGGGGTAAAAAAATTAAAGTTGAAAAAAAATATATTCCCCATATACATCATAACAATACATGTTCCATTTTTTTTAACAATAGGTGGTGATAATTGAATAAAAAATATTGAATAAGGATAATGGAAAAAATAAAGATAATAGGTTGAGAATAATATGAATTTCGGTTAAATTTTATTTTTATTGTTTATTATTATTACAATTGTGGCTAAAAAAAAATGCTCACCACAACTATATATGAACATGAACAAGCGTCATTACCAGAATACATAATGATGTTATGATGTAAGAAAACAAGGGAATGTGCTTTGTGTAAAGCTAATAATACGCCACACACAAACTATGTCTAAGCTTCACGCACATCATCATTAATATAAAAATATCATACACAATGATGTAATATAAAACAAGGGAATAATACGCCATCCACACAAAAATGCAAACTATGTCTAGAATCACCAATTTCTACAATAATGAAAGAAAACAAGGGAATGTTGCGTTGTGTAAAGCATAATACGCCACCCAGCGCAAAAAAGGTTTTCAGAGAGATCATTTGACAAAAATCTTGGCGTTCATTGCAGAAAAAGAAAGAAAATATTAAATTAATTTATATTAATTTATATTACTTTGTCTTGTGTATATGTATTTTGTGGCAAAAAAAAAAAAAAAAAGAGTAAATAAGGCATAATAATAATATAAGTCGTCATTCTCATGTTTGTTTGTGCTTTATTTATCTTTTATTTATCCTTTTTCTTTTTTGGGTTTTAAAATATGGTAAAAAAATATGGGGTCAGAATATTGTAAACACTGTAAACGAATGCAATTTTAATTTTAATTTCAACTTATTTTATTTTATTTTTTATATAAAAAAAGGATGCATTAATTAATATAATTGATAATTTACAATATATTGATATAAAAAATTATAATAATAATAGTAATAATATTATTTACAAGAAATTTATTACTATTGGTTTTTATATGACTAAAAAAAAATGATGATAATATTATATTAATAAATTTATGAAGAAAATGTAAAGAATGACTTGATTAAAAAAATAAAGGAAAAAAAAAACTAGACAATTAAATTAATTAATTAAAAATTATATGATAAAAAACTTTTGAATTCATGAATTTATGAATTTTTTTAAAAAAAAAATGAAAAGTGATCGCAACCAGGCGATACTTATTCTTTTTGCATAATTATTATTGTTAAAAATTTTATATTTGTTAAAGTTGATTGATTTGTTAAAGTTGATTGGTGTGTTGTAAATTGTTAAATTTTTTCTTTATAAATTTGTATTTGTTAAAGTTGGTTGGTGTATGTTGTAAATTGTTAAATAATCTTATATAAAATATATATATAAAAATATCTTATTTTTTTTTTACATAGAGTGAAGAATTTGAAGTATAGAAGTAAAGAAATTTCATATAACACATAAAAGTTAGAAAATTTCATATGAAACAGAGTTAAAAAAAAAAAAAGTTCATATAACATGGTCAATATAAATAGGAGGTAATGATGAATCTGCAAGAGGAGCAGGTATACAAGAAGCTATACTTCGATAAGAAGGTAAAGAATTTAATTTCGATTCATCAAATAATGATTTTGAATTAATCATTTCAAGAAAAGAATCCGTGAATGAAGAAGAAGTAGTAGAAGGTAGTGATGAAGAAGGGGAATATGATGGGGAAGATGAAAGAGAAGGAACCGAATCTTCAACATAAAGTTGGTCAAGACAATGTTCTTTGTATGCAGGTAATATCATACGATCACTATTAGAAGAAACTGGAGTGATTATAATTGGCAAGGCGGCTTTTAATTCTGAATTATTCTTGTCTTTCTCATCACCGGTATTATTAAATATGACACTAAATTTCAATTTATGTTGTATTTTGATAATTTCGTTTTGAGAATCATAATGACATAAAGAAATTTTATTAGGTAAATTAAATTCAAAAGTTTTATTCCAAACTTGATCGAAATCAAGTTTCACGTCATTAAGTTGATGAACGGGTCGAAATTCTTCTTTAACTTGAGTTCCGATTTGATAAGTAATATGTTCTATTAATCTACAATTAAATCGAACGATCGATAACTTTTTTTGTAAAGGAATTAAGGTCATATGTATAGGGATTTTATCACCTAAAGTAAAAGCTTTAGAATCGGTGGTAAATTCATAATCAATTTTATCAGTCCAGGTATTGGCCACGATAATGCTTTGAATAGAATCTAATTCTTCACAAGATGATAAACATCTTTGTATATTAATTTTTCGTTGAGTATTTAAATTAATGGATAATTTTGATCTTTCCGCCACAGCTTTTAATCGATAATTAACGTTTCCGAATTCACAGCCTTCAATTGTTTCAGGTAAAGCTCCTGGAATGACCAATTCAAAATTCCAATGATAGTTATTAGGTTGAAGAATGTGATAATTCTTTTTTGCGGGAAGGAATATCCAATCATGTTGAAATAAGATTCTTTCTTCTGAGCGATAACATTGTCCGGTACTAGCTCCTAATATAATAAAATGATAAAATAATAAAATATCGTAAATAATTATTCTTTTTATAATTTAGTTACAAATAAATATTATGAACCTGAAGATTAAAACATAAAATTTACCTTCATTCCAAGCAATCTTGGATCTTCCTTGAAAATTCATTTTAATTTCACGAATTTTAGTAGGTTCAGTGATAGATAAAACAAGTTGACCACGAAGAACACATCCTACAGATTCTGAACTAGTACCACGCATAGTGAGAGTATCATCTTCTAATCGAATTTGAAATAAAGGCGAAGGGTTGATAGTTAAAGGAACCATTTATATTAGGGAAGAAGGATAATATTTGAAGAAATATTCGAAATAATATTTTGATTGAATATTTTAAAAAAAAAAAAATATTCGAAATAATTATTAAAGTAATGAGAGGAAAGAAAGATTTGATAAAGACTTTGTTAAAGAATTTGTTAAAAGATTTGATATTAATTTTGGTTTCAAAATATTTCTTAAATAAAAAGTTGGAGTCTGAAAATTCGAAACGATGATAAAATTTTAAACCGTTTATATATATAAATTATAAAATAGGGTAATATAAATTATTAAGATTAAAATACGAATAAATGCATATAAACATAAAATTTATAAATATAAATATTTATAGTATTTTATATATTAGATTTTCTGAACTTAATTTGGTTACATCATTTTTTATCAATTATGCAACTCATAAACATAACATCCTTCCCCGCACACACCCTCACACAAAAACATTCACCAACAACATATGACCATCATATTCATTATTTCAATAGTCATTTCTTTAATCAATTTAAAGTAAAAAAAAAAAAAAATCAAAAAATATCAATTATAAACAATACAAATTAATAATACAAGAATAATAGTGTGACCATTATATTCTATTTATTTCAATAGTCATATGTGATAATTGGAATTTTTTTTATTATTTTATTAATTAAATTATTCTCTTTTTAAATTTTACAAAATTAAAATTAAATTATACAAAATATAATACAAAGAATAATAGTAATTCCATGTATGTATTAAAGTTTTCATTGGTACGAATTTTTTCTCTCGCTACAATTAATATCATTGATATGAATAATCAAATATCATTAATAATATGAATATATATAAATAATTAATTATATTTTTAATTAAATGAAATTAATGTACATTTGTTATTGTTTTTGAAAAAAAAAATTTCCATTTACTAAAAGATCAAAAAAATAAAATTCTATATCGGGTTGATTAGATCTTTTTTTTCATTATATAATCAAATAATTTATTCATGTGATTAAATTTATTCATATTATTTACACACATTTTATACATTTTATTAACGTATTATCCTATTTTTTATTGTTAACTACATTTTAAATGATATTTGGTATATAAAATGTAAAAATGATCTTTGACATTTCTCATTTCGCATTTCACCATATGAGATATTTCTTTAATACTTCTTATGTCACATGGTTTAAAAATGTAATTCTTTCGTTTTTCAAAATACACGTGTATTAAAAAAAAAACTACTATACCAACTTCGTCACCGCACCCGCATCACGCCACCGCCTAAATGCTTTAAATATTCTTATATTAATCATTCATCGTGATCAAATTATAGTAATTAATTGGATGACAATATTAAAAATTATCAGATTTTTTTCCCAGAAATTACACACGATATAATACACAAATGCATAAACATATAAATAAATAAATAAATAAAATATAAATATATTAATATATAAGGAATTATAAAAACAAGGATTAATCTTGATTTTTGATATGGTGTATATGTAAAAATACAAATGTATAAATATAATAAATATAATAATAATAAATAATAAAATATAATAGAATATAATAAAATATATAAAATATAATAAATATAAAAGAGGATTGAATGATACTCCAATAAATATAATAAATATATATAATAATGTTGACCTCCGAATTAGGAAGTCTTAATTTAACTAAATATAGATGTTTTATGGATGCGGAGAACTGGGAGATTTTATTCTCACCTTCAAAGAGACGATTTTTTCCACTATTTTAATTTCCTGTTAGATATATTAATTATATATATATAATTATTTATTTTTATGTATTTTTTATATTTATATTTTTTAGAATACATCCTTTCATTAGTTTTTTCCATTTTTTTTAAAAAATTTCAATAAATTAATTACAGGTCTCCATCTCTAACTCACTTTAATAATCACCTTTATTTTTCTCACATAACGCAATGCAATATTTGCATGAAATTTACGAATATCTACATTTATTTTTTTAGCCTCCAATTTTTAAATATAGGTCTCTCACTCTCTTAATAATCACCTCACTCCCTCTATCTTTTATTTTTTCACGAAACACAAATGCGAAATTATGAAATATTTGCATGAACTTACGAATATTTGTGTGAGAATATTTGTGTCATTTGTAAGCATTTGTTTTTTTAGCCCTCCACTTTAAGAATTTCTTTATATGGAAGAAAATACCTTTTGCAGAAAAGTTAATTTATACATACCAATGAGCCTTTTTATTTATAATATTTATTGGTGTAAAATCGAGTTGTATGCATTATATAAATATATAAAAGTTTCCAATAAGAATACTTATTATTATACAAATAAAATTTTTGTATTATTTTGTAATATAATTATTTTATATTAAATAATAATAATAATATAATAAAGAGAAAAAAAATTGTTGGTTATGAATTGTGTAATTTCTGATAACTCTATTTTAATTGTGTACTTGATTGATCTGATAATTGATAAGATTTAGATAAGATAATTCGTAAACTTTATATAACAATACAAATTATGTAATTTATTATAATATAAATATAAAAGTAAATGGATGATTTTTTTAATGAATATCATTTTTATGTGCATAGAAATATATTATTATTACATTTATTATTATTAATTTGAAAAATAATTTGAGAAAATAATTGATGAATATTATTATTACCTTTGAAAAAGAAAAAAAATTCCCTTTTCTTTTTTTCCTTTTTTTTTTTTTAATTATGGATTTAATTATTATTGGTTGTACATAATATTATTATTTATCCATAAACACGTTGTTTTTTTTTACATTGAATCTGACTTTATTGGTTTTTGTTTAATTATTAATAATATATAAAATTTACACAAAATTCTGCAGAGAGATGACATTTTATTAAGTTTGTGTGTACGAGCCAAAAAAAACAAAATAAATAATAATAATAAAGAAAAAAAAGGAAGAAAAAAGAAGAGTGAAAGATCTAGATTTATTTTAAGGCCACGATAATAATAATCTTAATTACCATATTAATAACGTAGTATAATATATTACATTATACTAATATACAATATTATATTATATTGTAACAATATGTATGCAATATGTAAATAGGTAAATATTAGTAATAAAAATATATCTTATACAATAGTAAATCTCTTTTTTAAAAAAAAACAAAAAACAATTACAACTGTAAAACAATTCTATAAACAACAATTTTGTATATTCCCTGTATATTTTATTTGTCTTTCTCTTTGATAAATTTATTCAAGTCTAATATGAGTCATACGAGTCATGCATAATATAATTATATTTATATATTGTAATGAATAATAAATGCAATAAACGGACTAAGGTTATAAAAGTAAAAATTATTATGAACGTAATAGTATAATAATGTTCTATTGGTGGTAGTAACACATATTAAATCTGATAAAATTTAAATTTAAAAAACAACGAATACAAAAAATATACAACACAAATATACAACAACAAATTATGGCAACAACAAATATACAACAACAAACTATCCTCATCACATCCGTGAACATATGTCATATGGATATTTTATGGGAATGTCCGTAAAAAATGTCATTAAATGTCATTTTGATTTATTTCTTGGTTTTTTTATTTATTTTTTTTTTAGTTTCATTCTCTTTTTTTCATTTACGTCATTTACGTCATTTGTCACGGTATTTGAAAAAAATTTACAAATTCCAATAGATTAATTAATTTTAACTTGACCAATAAAAACGAATTAGATTATCGAGCATTTGTTATGATTATTGCGTAATACAAGTATTTAATTAAATATTACATTTTATATTTTAAAACTTTGTGAACTTTATGTGCTACCAAAATTTGATAAACATCACCATTATAAATATATATTCGTTTTGTAACCTCAATAACCTCCATAATTAGTAATTAATCCAAAAATATAAATTCAATAAAAGTGGTTTAGTTTCTTCCCTTCTCACTCTGTTAATAAGATTTCACTTTTATATTGTAAACTATTTCTTTTATTACTTTCTTTTATTGCTTTCTTCATTGTTAAAATATAAATCAATTTTTGTCAAATATTATTTATTTTTAGTAAAAAGAATGTATTCATTGGATCAGAAGTTTAATTATATTTAATTACAATAAAAGATTTTAAAAATATCTTTTCTATAGTTTCTTTTTATAAGTTCATTAACCATTTTCTTATAATAAGGATGTCTTTTAATTTTGAAAGATTATCAATGTATTACAACAAATTAATTTTGAAATGTAAAAATATGATTTTCTTCTATAATAATTATTGGGTCTTTTCATTTATTTATTTTATTTTGATAAGTCATTGTTTTAAAAATTTTATCTTTTAATTTGAGTTTTGTCTCCTATAAAAAATTTCATATTTGCAGTTAAACTACACTATTTAATTTCAAATAGACTTCAGTAAAATTTTTATCATTTTCACTTTTAAAAAATTTATTTGTAAAAAATTAATAAAATATATATTCTGATAAATGAAAGTAATCTTTAAATGAAATTATTTTTTCTTCTCTATTTTTTCTATATTGATTAGTGATCATGTCAGAGATCTATATAGTGAAGTAATTTAATTAATAAATTTTTATATGCTAATCACTTTTAATAAATTACTTTTAGTTTAAATAAAAGTAATCTACATAATAATATTTATTAAAATTTTATATATTATATCAATATAAAGTAACATTATATTAATTTTTATTATTATCAAATAAAAAATTAAAATATTTTTATTTAAGAAATAATTTTGTTTACAAAAATTATTAAACTTGATATATAGTATATATAAACAAATAAAGATTTTGTTTTATCAGATATTATAATATTAATATTACAAAATTATTTCTTTCTTCAAATAAGTAAAAGAAATTCTTAGTACTTATATCTAATTTTAATTTGTTTTGTCTTACTTTTGTAATTCAAAAATAATTAAAATTTTTTTTCAAATAATTTATATAATAAAAATAGTAAAAATA